AAGGAAGGAAGGAAGGAAGGAAGGAAGGAAGGAAGGAAGGAATGGTTAGACAATACAAATAAATCAAATCAGGGAGATGGAGGAGCATGTGTGATTTTTCTCAAAGGAGGGGTTTTGCAAAGAATGGTGTATTTAGCTTGTAAAGTATGTACAAAATCCATTTTTCTCTGGGCACTTGTCCAATTCTGTCTCTTTTCCACTTTAAGTCAATGCTGATGGTGTGGTAAAGCTTTTTTTACTCAGAAAGAACTCTAGTCAACCTTGACACATTTTTTTTTTTGAGACCGAGTCTCGCTCTGTCACCCAGACTGGAGTGCAGTGGCTCAATCTCGGCTCTCTGCAAACTCTCCCTCCCGGGATCACGTCATTCTCCCGCCTCAGCCTCCCGAGCAGCTGGGACTACAGGCGCCCGCCACCACACCTGGGTAATATTTTTGTATTTTTAGTAGAGATGGGATTTCACTGTTTTAGCCAGGATGGTCTTGATCTCCTGACCTGATGATCCGCCCGCCTTGTCCTCCCAAAGTGCTGGGATGACAGGCATGAGCCACCACGCCCAGCCAACACTTCTAAACTTAGAAGTTTCTTTGACCCTATTAGTTTGTTGTCACTTCCAACCTAGGACCCCTCAAATGGCAGAAATAACTTGAACACAAATTTAATGATGTTCCTTCCTTGTTTAATTTTATAGCTGTCATTTGTCAAATTGCCTTCTTCCTACATCTGCCGCCTACTATACACCCTCATTGACACTCTGAACAACACACCAGATAAAACCAGTTTGTTCACACTTCATATGCCAAGGCAACCATATACCAGGCAGTTCAATTTTGGACTTTCTGGGATTTCAGGGAGAATTTATCCACAAAGAGTATATGCATAGCCCAGGTTCCCTCTGAAAAAAATTCCGAATCAGTTGCAAAATTCCCATGACACTAATTATAATTAGGCAGAGATAGATGAGAAGATAAGAGTATGGCTCCAATCAAGGAGACTTCACCGCATATAAATGTTTGCATGGCAATCATGAGATCATGGATGCAAACAGCTAGCACAGGGCCTGCTATGTAAAACTATCAAAAGCTTAGTTTCCCCCATGTGGGGTTATCTCAAAGGCAACCCACCCTAATCTGAGGTAACAAGTATTCTGGAAGAATCCAAAGCTGTGGAAGAGGAGAAACACAGAGGAAAGAGGAAGTTGTTTGGTTTGTGTTGGTTTTTTTTTTTTTTTTTTACCAGAACCTGTTTCAGCATTCTTATAGGGAAAAGCCAAGCCTTACCATCTTCCTCATTATTAAACATGCTTAGAAAGCCTGCGAAACCTTATTTTTTAACAGACGTTGGTAGCATATACTGTGTATCAGTGGAACTCAATGCTCAAGTTAGACCATAAATAATTTTTGTACATAATTTATATGTTTTTGTAAAGCAAAAGGAATTACGTTTTCATCAGAAGCTTTTCTCACGTTATTGCCAAACTCCCTCTTTTTTCTGTGTCTGATGTAAGGTCACGTTTTGTTGCACAATTGGGAACACTGGGGTAATAAAGTGGGAGACAGAAAGGACAGGGAACCATGCGTTTCAATTTGTTCACAATACATTTGTAACTCATCTCTGTCTTCTCCACTCTTCCTCCTGGCTCTATGGGTCATGGTAGAGGAACAATTATGTGGAAGAAATCAAATATGAATGACTGCTTTCCCCTCCAGCTCTCTTCCCTACTTCCTCCTTGTGATATGCTTATCACGTTTCCCTGCAGGGTTGTAAATAAAGGCTTCTGGGGCTTTCACAGCTCGAGAGAGAAGTAGCCCCCTCCTATCAGCCCTAACAAACTGTTGTTCAGCAAATTGTGATAAGAACATCATTGTGATACAGAGTATCTAATGAATTTCTAATTAATATTAATCTTTTGGCCTGGCGCAGTGGCTTGCACCTGTAATCTCAGCACTTTGAAAGGCTGAGGCGGGAGATCATTTAAGGTGGGGAGTTATGACCAACATGGTGAAACGACATCTCTATTAAAAACACAAAAAAATTTGCTGGGTGTACTGGCACATGCCTGCAATCCCAACTACTCAGGAAGCTGAGGCAGGAGAATTACTTGAACCCAGGAGTCAGAGGTTGTAGTGTGCTGAGATCGCACCACTGCACTCCAGCCTAGGCAACAGAATGAGACTCCTTCTCAAAAAAAAAAAAAATATATATATATATATATGTATAAATATTTTATAATAAATCATCAAACATACAACACATTTTATTTAAATATTTAAATTATATTAATGGAAAGAAGTACATTTGGAGCTTTTTTTTAAGAAAATAACACTCTGGAAGATTGTGTGTTTTTTGAAACTACTTAAAAGTGTAAAAATCATTATATTTTAGAGACTGGAAAGATCTTAGGCACCATTTCACCTATTCTATTTGTTTTCTATAACAAAAATTAAGCACCTAAATACTTCATTCAAAAACCACCCATAAGATAGTGGTGGAGGTACATATTGAGGTAAGAATCTTTCTACCACATCATGATACTCCTGGTCCACCCCATGGATACACTATATTGAGTCATAAAAGTTTGACAATATATTTGGGATAATAATCTAAGGATCTTATCCAACATAAATACTATTTTCCAACATTTTCACTTATATTCTAAAGCAACAGGCTCTCAACTACAATTATTTCTTCATTTTATGCTTTTGTAATAAGGTAGTCTGTCTAGCCTACCTTATTACTAACTCTGGTGTTACCCTTCGTTGTCTACACAAGTACCTTGGTTTGACTCATGGCAATCTCTCTTCTCTGGATCTGTTCTTCTGGCCATGCCTCAGTTATCACGATGTCTTCCTAATGCAGTTTCAATGGCCAGCAAAAGAGACGCTTGAGCACCAAGAAGAATACTTTCCAGTCCAATGAGAAGCAAAAGTTCCTGTGAATTTCCTTTGATAGTTACACATTCGATATTCATGCATTCATTCAGTTACGAATTCCTTCTGAAGTCCCAGGCACTGGATTATGTGCTGCAGAGGCCAATGCCTAATAAGATACTGTCCCAGGACTCATGGAGCCCATAGTCTCATGAGGACAAAATGTGTAAACCCTGCACTGTGGATATGGCCAGAGAAAGCAGTAAATAATTGAGGTGCTTTGGGGAGTGGAGAGGAAGGAGCTGTGCCTGGGAAGGATGGCAAACAGCCTTATCTAGATATGCCAAATCCAAGCAGTCAAGACACCTAGGTTCTAAATTTTTTACAAGAACAATCTCATTCTCCTCTGATGGAGAAGACACAGCCCAGCTGTGATCTAGTATCTGGGCATTCTGATCACAGGAACAAAAGGTCAGCAGTCATTGCCTGATCACCAAATAGAACAGAAGGGTGGGTCTCAGGACCTGGAGAGTGGGGATAGATGGTAAAAATGACAGAGAACGGACAACAGAAAATCTATGTGAAAACCAAGCCAGCCATCTGTAAGCCTCTTGAGAGACAGTCAAACCACACAGTTCTGAAAACAAATTCTCAGCTGCTTGAGCAGGCAGGTGGATCAGCCTAGGCTAACTCTGGAAGATCTAATCAGTTGCAGGTGCATTTTGGGTGTTTTAAGTGCATGTTAGTCGTAGGGGTAAACTGTCACTTTGCACAGTTGAGGTTGAGGCATAGAACTAGTACTTTCTCTTTACTGGAGTTGCTGCTGCACCTGAGCCAGTGTGGGCTCCCAGCCACGCATGAGGTTGGGAGATGTCCAAATCGAATCGCTGTCTTGCCTAAATCTCAGAGCTCTCCAATAACACTAGTTACCTCTCAGGGCTAGGACAAGGATGAGGCAAGGGAGGCACTGAGAATAAGATATAACTCAGGTTCCCACTCTGAACCATCTTGAGCAAGATCAAGTTCTTCCTTAGACCCTGCCTCTTCTTCCAGAATATCTTTCCAATTCTAGGAGGAAGAAGGGCTTCAACAATTCTATGGCAGGCAGCACTTACTATACAAGAGAAATGTGGGACAAGGAGGAGCCTGGTTGATTTCCCAAGGACCTCTGACCAAAAATCCCTATTGAATTTTTACAAAGAGATGTTGGTCAGGGGATTCAAAATTTCAGTTAGATAGGAGAAATGTTCAAGAGACCTATTGTGCAACATGATGACTAGAGTCAGTAACAATAGGTTGTGTTATTGAAAATTAGGAGAGTAGATACTAAGTGTTCTCACCACACACACACACACGCGTGCGTGCGCGCGCACACACACACACGTGAGGTAATGCATGTTAATTAGCTCAATTTAGCCATTCCACAATGTATGCATATTTCAAAACAACATGTTGCACATGATAAATATATATAATTTTTGTCACTTAAGAAACTAGTTTAGAAAAATTTCTATTGGCAGAGTCTCAAAAGCAATCGTACTCATAGTGACCAATCTCAAATTAGTAATGAGGTTTTTTTTGTGATTTCTTTTTTTAAACAAATATTTGATTCATCTCTTGTCTCCTTCCATGTGTTTCCTTCACTTCTCCCAGTCGAAAATGCATTTCTCAGGATCTCCCTTCTCTGCTTATTGAAAACAGATTCAAAATATATGCCCCTGGGAAAAAATTTCTTGTGTAAGGCATATTTTTAATTCTGTTGTGGCTTAACCCTTGATTGTAACACCAGAGACCTGCTAAGAACTGTCAACTCTAATGTTTAAACACTATTTTAAGACTCATACATATTTATAACGATGTCCCCTGGGTTTCTCTTCTGAATGAGACTTTAAACCAACAATCATTTTTATAAACAGAGCAATAACCACAAAATATTCAACAAATTACATACATGGCTTAACAACTATCTAATCCAGAGAAAACGCATAGACATTACTATATAGATAATATATCCTATTTTTTATTATCCATTTACTTCAAGTTCATTGTTTTCCTTTTTAAAAAATAAGGCTAGTATTATCATAAACCAGTATCCATGGTTTCCTTTTCATTAAGTTCTCTTTTTCTCATTATGTTCACTCACCTTAAAAAAATCCTATTTGGGAAAGAGGAAGAAAATAAGGGGAAAAATGATTTACAAGGCAGGAGAGAGACGTTTCCTCTACATGACACCATGGCTCCAAAAGCACTGGGCAGATTTTCCACAAAGGATAAGAAAAGAACTAAACATGTTCTATTTCACAAAATTACAGACAGATTATTGGATGCAAGATGGATTGCACCTCAGAAAGAGCCCATCCTTCCGTCAATGCACACTGGTCATAGAGTCTCATAAAACATTTTCAAACAGCTGAGGGCAAGCCCCAAGATGAGATGTCCCTCCATGCTGGGTTTCCAGGCAGAGGTCACTTTGCCAGTGAGTTTGTTTGCTGCTCAGCTGACGCAGGAGTTAAGTAAAAGCCTCCAGCAGCACAGAAATGTGGGTCTTTCCCTCAGTGATTCATCACTATCAGCAATCAGACAAACTGTCTCATAAAGTCTGAGCATAAATTACTTCATCTCCACCAATTTGGGTTTAAAGATCATTATGAATGCACTTGGAAAACACCTTGTTCATTTTTACTTACTATTAACTCTAGGATGTTTTATATGGTTGACCACAAGAAGACAGGGATAACAAAATACTGCAATCACCCAACCATAACTTTAAGAGAAATCCTCTCACGTTTAGAACTCCGTATAATTCATTAATAATATCCATCAATATCTATGAATATAAGAAAACAGAGGCACTTACCCAAATGAGTAATTTTTTAAAAAGCTGCCATCTACAAAATCGTATTTTATTGAATCCTCACAAAAATTTTGTGATATATGGCTGAGACTTTAAACCTATTTTGTGATAAGAAACTGAGATCCAGAAGGGTTAGGGCACTTGCTTAACGGCACATTACTTGTTAGTAGCAGAGCTGGGATTTGAACCAGGGTTGTTCCGAATTCTAGTCCAGTTTCTTCCTAATATACTAGGCTGTTTAACTCAGATGATGGCCAGGCTTACTACGACCATTATGCTCAATAATTTTAAATAAATATAAGAATCTAAGTAGCAGACAAGTTCTTCCTGTGCAGTTGGAAAAGTAACTTCCATCTTAGAAGCACTTATCCATTTCAAAAGATGACCTTGTGAATTACGTCAATGTTGCATCAATTGTGTAGGACTCATGCTCAGTAGGAGAGAAAACTGATTATGTGAACAAACCTAGTCATGCTGGGCCTTCTCTGTTTGTTTCCCACTTTCCTCTCCATCCTTCCCACCTGCTCTGTGCTCTAGGAGGCTGACCTCTGCTAAATGAATTCCTTCCTCACTCTCTGGGGTTTGATTCAGCCATGAAATGTCTTTGCAGGGCCCAGTGAATGGGAGGAAGTTGGGTTGGACTGTGTGCTTCCCCTCCCTGTTGCCTGCTGGACGGAGAGCTGGCAGTGGCTGCATTCTTCCCAGGAGACAGCAATTTGTCTTCACCTTCGGCTTGCTCCCTCTCTGTCCCCAGCCTCTCCCCCTCCCATTTTCCCCAGTAACTCCACACTCCCTTTACACCTTCTGCCAAAGAAAAACCTGAGACCAAGGCTTGGGTGCAGGTGATCTATTTTGGAACTCAGCTTAGAGAAGAAGAATGAGGGACAGGAAGAGTGAACACCAGGGAGACTCAAAGCCAACAAGGATGAATTACTGAGTTAACCATTGCTGTTGTCAGTGGGTGCTTCATTCCTCAGAATATTCTGCAGAATCTTATGAAATACACCTCAGACAGTCTGCTGGGGAGGAAGACGAGGAATGTGCACCAGTCGCCTTCCACCCCTCATTCTTTAAGAGAAGCACAACCCCACTGACTCACCCACATTTCCAGGTTGCACATGCCAGAAGGCCAGGCAGGGTCCCATAGGCATTGGCATCCCCACATCAGGGAGGGCCCATGGCAGGGCCTGAAGGCACCATGGAGCAGGCCATTGGCAGCAGCCCTGACGATACAGCTCCGCCAAGGGGAAGGGCAGGAGGATTGGGGAAAATGGAGCCCTGCCACTGTTACTGGGGAAAGCTTCACTGCCCCTAGTTTGTTTGACTTTTTCCTTAACCCTGACACTCATGGAAACAGTTCCTTCTTTAAACTCTCCTCGAGTTCCCCATTCGATGGGATATCTATTTCGCGTTAAATCCTGCCTGCTTTAGTAGCATTCTGTGTCTTTTCAACTATTCCTTCAAGACTCTTCCTGTCTTTTCCTCATTATTCTCTATCCCCAAACAATAACACTTCATGTTTTATGGTTCCCTCTTTTACCAGGTTGGAGAGGGTCCCCTGAGAATTCATGTTCTTTCCAGAATCTCGGAATGTTACCTTATTTGAAAATAGAGTTATTGCAGATGCAGCTAGTTAAGATGAGGTCATCCTGCAGTAGGATGAGCCTTTAATAAAATACAACCTACAACCAGTGTCCTTACAAGAAGAGAAGAGACACAGAGACGGAGATACAAGGAAAACAGCTGGCCAAGACAAAGGCAGAGACTGGAGAGCGGCCTCTACAATTCAAGGAAAACCAAAGATTGCCAGCAACTCCCAGAAGCAGCTCCCAGAAGCGAGAACAAAGGCTTAGAACAGACTCTTTCAAAATGTCCAGAAGGAACCAACCCTCCTACATCTTGATTTCAGACTTCTGGCCTCTAGGACTATGAAAGAATAAATGTCTGTTGTTTTAAGCCACCCAGTTTGTTGTCATTTGTTATGACAGCCCTGGGAACCGCGTATACCTCCCCATCAAGGCCTTCCTTCCAAGTCTCATGGAAGCCTGACAAAGACCCATGTTTCATTTTCTCTCAACCCATCAAAAACCCATTATCTGTCATGGGTTTATCCTTCAGTGTCACAGCCTTTGACAAGTGACAGTGGGTGAATAGACTGTCCTTGGTAATGCTTTAAGCAGCTAACTTGATTAATAGGAACACGATATATCTCTTTCTCTTCCAAAAACTGAACTCTAAGAAAACAATGACAATGTATCTCTTCTGATTAAACTCTGCTTAAGGAAGCTCTTCAAGAACCCTTAATGGCCAGGTAATGGAGAGTGATTTGGGGAGCTCCTCAGAGCACACACTGCAGGCCACGTGCTGCCCTTACATTCTTAGCTTGAATGAGGGCCTCAGCCAGGATGGAGTCATTCTGGAAATCTAAATGCCTGCCCACCTGTTAGACATCCCAGCAGGAACTACACAGGAACCAGGACTGTAGCAATGCAACCCATGGAGAGATAAAATCCCAGATCAGCCAGCCCGGTAGGCAAACAGAAACCACACTGGACGGGAACTGTTTTCCCATAAGCATAATCACCTCTTGATATGCATTTGTTGATCATTCTCCACCTCTGTTTCTCCCTCACCTTCCTTTGAACCACTTTTTGCCACAAATTAACTCTACCCAAGGAAAAAAAAGTCAAGAACCAAAATATGCAGCTTGTTTCTCTGGGGTTTTTTGCTTTAATATAGTTCTCTAGATGATATACTTTATCAGGCTAACATGAGGCTTTACATGTTATGGGTGTTTTGTTTGTTTCTTATTATCATCTGCAAATGGCAGAGAGTGGAGCTGACCTTCAGTACCTCCCTGCTAGGCTGCTTTGCCACCACCAAGCATGGACTTTGAAGATGAGCATACCCAGGCTGACTCTAGCTCTCCTATTAACTGATGACCCAGAGTAAGTGAATGAGAGCCTGTCTTCTCACCCATGAACTGGGAATAAGAATGCCTCATTGTAGCTGGTTGTGAGGCTTAAACACGTGATTGTACTTATGGCCCCATGCAGAGTGGCAGGTATTTGGTAAAAGTTAAGAATCCCTTCTAAGAACAACTTCTTCTTTAAGTTCCATTTTAAATCTCACTTTGCCTGGTCATGTTAACTGCAAGGTGTCTCAGCCTCTTTTGGCATTAATTGTGCAGCAACCATTTATATACTTATTTAATTGGCTTTCTGTTTTGTTTCCCCAACTTTAAGCTGAGACCACAAGTATACACCACCACGTCTGGTTAATTTTTTGCTTTGTGTGTGTGTGTGTGTGTGTGTGGAGATGGTGTTTTACCATGTTGCCCAGGCTGGTCTCAAACTCCTGCGCTCAAGCAATCCACCCGTCTCAGTCCCCGCAAAGTACTGGAACTACAGGTATGAGCCACTGTGCCCAGCCTGAAAAATATTAATAATAACATTCATGAGGCCATTCTGTGTGTCAGACATCATGCTAAGCACTTCAACAGGGATGTTGTTAACCCTGACAACAACCGAGTTAGGATATTAACCTCATTTCAGGAATCTAAAGGGTAAACCTTACTTTAGACAACTAGTGAGTGGCAGAACAAGAATTCACAAGTATGTCTTTATCAATTCTAGCATCAGCTCTCTTAAACAGAATGATGTCAGGTACATAGTAAGAACTCTAAAGTAATCTTTAAAAAAAAAAAAAAAAGAAGCCAAGCACAGTGGCTCACGCCTGTAATCCCAACACTTTGGGAGGCCAAGGCACCTGAGGTCAGGAGTTTGAGACCAGCCAGGTCAATGTGGTAAAATCCTGTGTCTACTAAACACACACACACACACACACACACAAATTAGCCAGGTATGGTGGTGCATACCTATAATCCCAGCTACTCGGGAGACTGAAGCAGGAGAATCACTTGAACCCAGGAGGCGGAGGTAGCAGTGAGCTGAGATAGTGCAACTACTGTACTCCTGCCTAGGTGACAGAGTGAGACCAGGTCTCAAAAAAAAAAAAAAAAAAGAGAGAAGGGTAGGGGGTGTCTCGCTATGTTGCCCAGGCTGGTGTTGAACTCCTGGTCTCAAGCGATCCTCCTGCCTCAGCCTCCCAAAGCACTGGAATTATAGGCATAAGCCACCATACCTGGCCAGAACTCAATAGTAATCTTTAAAAATTATGAACAGATCTTGATCTATCAGATACCAAAGAAGACATAAATACTCATTTAATGACAAAGCTTATTTGAAAAAGACATGTATTAAAATCAAATTTATTCCATGATTATTTTTTAAATGTATTCTTCTTTTTCTTTTTTTCTATTAAATTATCTCCAGTTAGGCTTATCCCTGCTACTTTACCAAAATCACACTTACTAAAATGATTCAAGACCACCAAAGTACTAATTCAGTGGTCACTTTGCAGTGAGTCCTCTTCTTTTTCTTGGTCTCTCTGCAGAGCCAGATGTGGGCATTCAAGCCTTCTTTGAACTTTCTTCACTTTACTTCCAGAACACCAAGGTCTGCTGGGTTTCCTCCTGTCTCACCAGACAGCTCCTTGACTGGCTCCTCTTCTCCTAGGCCTGTTATAGTTGGTGTGATCCTGGACGCAACCCTTGGCCTCTTCTGTATCTACACTCACCTACTGAATGATCTCATCCAGTGTCATGGCTTTAAACACAGTACAGTCTGTTCTGCTGTCATATAACATAGTGTTTGTAAAAACAAAAACAAAAACAAAAAAAACACAACTCTATGCCATGCAAAATACACACAGTAACAACCAAAGGTCTTATGCAAAAAATGTGATTGGGGCACAAAACACTTAAAAATGTCAGCAACTGACTGGGCATGGTGGTTCCCACCTGTAATCCCAGTACTTTGGGAGGCTGGGGTGGGCAGATCGCTTGAGCTCAGAAGTTCAAGACCAGCCTGGGCAACATGGTGAATTCCTGACTCTACAAAAAAAAAAAAAAAAAAAAATGCAGAAAATTAGCCAGGTGTGGTGGCATGCCCCTGGAGTCCCAACTACTCAGGAGGCTGAGATTGCAGAATCACCTGAGTCTGGGATGTCGAAGCTATAGTGAGCTGTGATTGAGTCATTGCACTCCAGCCTGGGTGAAGGAGAGAGATCTTATCTCAAAATTTTTTTAAAAAAAGAGGAGATAAGCTGATAAAAAGAATGGCACAGTTTCATACATATTAAATGGTTAAAAAATGAATAAATACTACAATAAATCTCATACTCTACCTTGACAAAGACCAGAAGTTTGCTTGGGAAGGATTGTAGCTTTATACTAAAGTATAAAGTGGTGGAAGGAAAGTTTCCTGAAATC